CGGCAAGAAATTTCAGCTTGTCTTTATTTTTGGTAGAATGCGATTTGTGGCAAATATGAGTTAAATCATTTCGATTAACGAACCTACCAAACGTACACATTTGCCTACGTAGAGATGTTTCAGTTTTTAAAAATGTGGACATGATGTTCCTGTATTTTTATTATCACGGATACATGCATGTCGTGCGCGGTATTGTGAAACCTTGCTCATAGATTAGTTATTTGTTCGCACCTTAGATGGTTTCAAAAGCAACGCTTGCTTACGTGTTCCCACAGGTGAAATAAAACCGATATGAAGTAAAAAGGACTGAACTGACCCCCGAGGGCGAAAATTTTCCGAAGCGGTTTCGCTTATCCCGTCGAAGGCAAGTGCTGTCCCCATAGGGGTCTTCTTGGTTTGGATGTTGGCTTAAGTCTAGAATCATCTCATCCGAATCGTCATCAGACTGCAACAGTAGCAGCCAACATAAGCGGTGTCTTCAAATTGCAACGGTATAATAGCAGTGCGGCACTATTTTTATATCGCAGTCCCTACCTATGCCACCTGCTTCCTTGCTCTCCCTTCCTATCGCTGCCAACTCGCGCCATTTTTTCGTCGCGACCTTTTCACAGTAGTTTTGGAGGAGCCCGAAAAGTGATCGGGGATCTTGGCCCCGAAGAGATGGTCATTCCCTTCCATTGTATGTCAAGTACCACCCAATCAGCCAACCGGCCGGCCGGCCGACCGCCCGCTTGCAGAACAATCTGTTACGGCCTGGAATCGGCTGTCGTTTACCACATCTGGAACAACCATACTTGACCTAATGTTTTCATGTTTTCTTTTTTTTTTTTGCTGTTTTTTTGCACACTTCAGTTTTCTCCCGTTATGTGGCACTTGTTTAGAAGACGATGCAACATTAAACTCACAACGTGTAGCTGAATTGAGCTTTATCCATAGCAGATGTGTTATAGGAACATGTTTAAAAAGTCTGCTATTGAACAAGCTAGACAACTCACAACGTGTAGCTGAATTGAGCTTTATCCATGGCAGATGTGTTATAGGAATATGTTTAAAAAGTCTGCTATTAAACAAGCTAGACGTAACTATAGGTACTAATACAATAGTTGTATGGCCAGTTGAGTGCAGTGCAATTGCTAGGAACTCCATACCCTACAGTGGGACTATACATTTGCGATGAACGTTTTGAGCTCAAAGGACGAAAGCATATCAAGCCATAGAGCAAAGTGACTTACTGAAAAAACGTGATAGGTGAACGTGATTGAAATACGTGTGGTGCAAGTGTACCATTCATAAAAGCTCCGTATATGTACGAGAGAAAAGCTAACCTAACAGCTGACTGTACTCGTTATCGATTCGAACAAAGTAACTTGGTTCATCGATGTCAGTGCATGATTTACCGTCTACTGAAACTTGTGTCTCCGGACCAAAACAAAAAAGTCGAATTTGTTTGAATATTTAGCGATGCTCTGACAGTATATTACCTGGAAAAAGCTGAAGGACTAATTTTTTTATCACTCTGGAATACTTTAGTAATTCTGAACATAGGCGGCAAAAGCGGATAAAACGTTGGTAGTAAATTATTGTAAACATATTTGCCATCTTTGAAATTCGCTAAAATAAAATGAATGAGTTTGTCAGCCGTTACTGCTAAGGTAAATCACTTTATTCAGCCTACTTATGTTTATTGTCACTGCTACATAGTGTCAATCAATAATAAGTTAGCAATCGGCTCAACCCACCTCTAGCGCGGACGATCTTACACAGAACCGCACCTCGTCACACACACACACACACACATAGAATTTCCTCACGTGTGTATATTCGGGAACTCTGTGCAGCGTAGTGTATACATTTGAAATGTTTTATATTATGTAGCCTAGCCTTTACATCATGTACGTGCAGACAACCAAATGAGGCTAAATAAAATCACAATTAGAATAAGAGGTTTTGCTGCTTATAGTCAGCTACACCCGTGCTGCTTTATCGCAATGTGCATTACTAAATGAGAATGACTTTTCGTGGAACTCCAGGGGACACTGTAGTAATGCCTTCTTCTTGACGATCATGTCGATAAAGGCGTTAGCGAGCTACATTATTGACGCAGTCCAAGCTAAAGCGCGTGATCGTAAATGTCATGCTTTTCTTCTTTTAGCAGCGGGCGCCACCTCTGTTGATGCAATGCCACCGCCTTTTACGTGGGTTTTGCTTCTTCAGTTTGCTTCTTCGGGCGTTTTTCCCGACTTTACTTCCATTCACCATCACCATGTTACGCTTCGTTTTTGCTTACCTACAGCTGATGGTCGACTCAGTTCTTGCTATCCAGCTAGACACAGCCAGTGGCTGGAATGGCTCGATCTATCGTATAGTTCTTTACTTTTAGCCCACGTTAAGAGTCCAGTGGTCTACTTTTATAGGTAAAGACCTCGTTCGTCTCTTACTCGTGGATACCACACAAAGTTATCTACTGCGGCTATTTATGCTGCATCGAAACTTCTCTTGTCGAGGTCACAGTTAGGTTAGCCAGCTCGCAGCGAAGGAGGAGCTGACTGGCACGAAGGCCCGTATACCATGCGCAACCTACGCTCGCTTTTCTTATCTCCTTATACGTGACGTGACATGCAGCATTCTACGGCTTTTCCTACCTGGGCTTTTGTTGGCCTTGCCGTCTCGCAGACATGGCACCTAACGAACAATCAACGATCCTTTGCGTTATTCCTTATGTGTGCGTTTTTGCACAGCTGCAATTGCGTCTGTCCTCTACACAAGAGAACGTACATTGCATGAAAACAACGTACTCCAGCATCAATGTACATACAAGGACGTTTGTGGCACGTTTTACTTATTAAAGAAAGAACCACTGAATTATTTCAGAGCTTTTGCTGTTTCTGTCCTCTTGAATGCTGTCTTTCTTGTATGCATGTTTTAGAGCTTCTACCTTTGAGTCATTATAGGTCAGACTCGTCTGAGCGCGTCAAACTGCCACCGGGAAGTCTTCGTAAAAGTTTATGAATGGTATTGAACGGGATTAGACTAAAATGACTGGATTATGTTATCATTTGTTTTGCTAGTCGTGTGGCAAATGATATATCAAATATAGATAACTTGATCATATGAACCTATTCCATAGAAGTTATTTAATGGTATACAACGATAATCCAAATTAACTGCTTACACATAAAAAACAGTATAAATCTGTTTACCTTCCTTTAATTACCGACTTTTGGCATTTTTTTTTATAAATAATGCTCATTGTTGAGTGCCAAGTTTTCAATTTGGTACCCAATAATGAGTGCCTTTATTATTAAATGAATTTATTCTGCAGTTAACAGTAAATTAGCGATGCTGCAAAATCAATCAAATATGACTACCCTTGTGGTTAGAAAGATCAAATACTTAATTTTGGTTACTAACACTATCTTTGGGCTTAGTTTTTGACTCGGTGTGATGAAATGGCAAAGAGGTAGGTCCATCAAAACCTGCAGTACTACCTGCGATATGTCGGCAGAAGCCGTCTCCTGTCTACCATCGTTGTATCCTATCTTTTTAATCGGCTGCCCATCTCAGCTTTGAGAAATTTGTGCGCCCTGCCCAACGGCGGATATATAAACCGCTGTTTAAATACGCGCGTCACTGCCAGCCACAGGGTTCAGTACTAGAACACCTTTGTCTAAAAGAGATGCTATTCCTTAGGCAAAAAAGATTAGTCTCGCCGAAAGTCGTGTCAGACTTTCAGATGTCTAAGTATCCGCAACGGTTTCAATTCTGAGATCAACAAATAAAAACAACGTTTATGTTACTAGGCAAGTGGGTTATCATAGTCTCAGCCATCAACGTGCAAGTCGATATTCCACTTGACAATCATCCCGAGCGTACCTCTTCGTAGTCTGACACAATAACATTAAAACTTCGCTATTTCCAGTTATGTACATACAACAAAACGGCGTTAATATCTCGTTCTATCCAACTTCCTCTTTGTCTCATTCATTTAATGGTTGTTTGTTTACTGTCACCTTGCGAACGACCTGAACAGGCTGTATAGTCGTATAGTATAGTAATATGGTGTTGTGTGGCGACCTTTTTTATGCGCACTACTAACATAATTATCTGAACTCGAGGCACGGCGAACAAAAAAAAACGCCTCGGTTATAGCTTAGTATTTATGAAAATGTATGAGACAGAAGAACATAAAACGAATTCTCTCACGCCTGGGCTTCTCTTCGGCTGGGAAAGGTCTTGAACCTCCTGGTGGCCCTTTCACTGCACAACCGGTCGGTTTCCTGCTTTGCCTGTCATCGAAGAAGACCTCTGTCTAACAACAGCGACAGCAACATAAGGCCACCCCAGTCGCCTGCGGCTAGACATTTTTTTGTACAAATCGTTTTTATCCACAATGTTCTGACTAGGAAAGGTACAGAACCTGTGTAGAAGGCTGATTTAACCAGCTATCTTCTGCCGTAGCGAGTCGCCTTCTCGAAGCTAGGCTCTAATTATGAAGCGTCGAAGGCTGCTTGTTTAAGCACAGAAGGGTGCCAAAGAACACGATAAATATTGCACGTGGTTTACGATAATTGAAGAAAGTTGTACTTCACAGTAAAGATATATGCACGAATTGCATGCCTTTAGATAACAATCTAACATAATTAACTGCTTTTGTTCCAGGCATATATAATATCATACATATCTAAACGACAGTAATTTTATTTAATTAAATTGTTTTTTAGCATTTAGCCATCTAGAAAACGTGTTAACGGTGGAAATATATTGAGATAGGTTACATCTCTCTGAATTGTATGTAATATGATTCTGTAATCACGACGAAGAGTCGATGATGTAATTGATGTTAAACTGAAATTCAACTCATAAAATATTGATTTATTTTAACATGAAATTTATGTACTATTTTTTCTAAATTTCTTTTCAATTTCGGGTGCTGAATTATACTGTTTCTTTTAGATAGTACCTAATCAGTTCAGTAAACTGATGTTGGAATTGTTGTTGAAATGTCAATTTAAAAACGTTCTTAACATTCGTCGTCTCATATAAGCATAGTCATGTTAGTTCGAGTTTGTTGACAGACAACATATGCACTTATCGACTGACGCGCTTACCAACAATCTGACTGCACTTATGTCCCAGCGTTGCCGTGCTTCTTGTAAGTAAGCCTATATATATCTATATATAGCAGTGTGACTACCTGCAATCTTACGGGCTACACAACTTCAACAACGAAGTCCATTCTTTGCATCCAAAGATTTAAACACAAGCACTTGAAGGTCTTCCTCGTTTTCTACAGGCTAGGATTGTCTCTTCGCTGTTCTAGCACCCCCCACTGTCCCGTGTTTCAAATTTCCCTAACACACCCGCTACGTCGTCTTCGGTGTCCTCCGTTACTATGCTGTCCTATCCACGTTGCTAGTATATTTTAGTCGGCATGGCTTTGCCTATGTCCGGCTGTATAATAAGGTTGACTAGAGGTGTAGGTTCTTGTATGAGTCCCTCGTGAATTACGTCTTCTTAAAGCGCCCCTCTTCAGACCCGATTCAGGGGACGTTACCAGCAGCTGCCCCGTGCAAATTGGCCCCCAGTACCCCTTATACTCAAACTTGTACAGGATCCTACTTGTAGTTAGTCGAAATTTCGTGACCTTTGCTCTCTTGGTCGCTGGTTCAGTCGATCGCTTAAGCGAATTTCACGCTAAGATTCGCACGATAACAGCCAGTTGGGGGAAAACATAGGCTACCTTATGGTGCCGTGCAACAGGGAGGAGCGCTGACGACAGTGATGAGTTGTTCGTGCGGTTGCAAAGTAGCACATACAGTGTTCACATTGAAATTAATGGAGGAGTTGGATGGGTTGGGAAGCTTGTGAGGTTCTCAAGGTACTCAAAACGGTCAGTTAAGCCGACAAACGAACCTTCGGTTGTCATCACGGTACTGGCAGAAGTAATAGTAGGAGCGAAGGTAATGAGACGTCGAGTGACTATGTACAAAGACGCTTGCAAACGGCGTAGATGCAGTGCTCTCTATACAAGCTTTTCTGTGCGCAACTGATTCAGCTTAGCCTCAAATGCAATCGTAGTCAGCAAAATGCTTCAATAAACTTAGTCGGGGCTGGAAAATGTAGAGTGGGAAAAGAAACAAGGCAAGAAGAATACCGAAACTTTATTGGTGGAAGGTACAAAAAGACAAGTATGTATATTGCTTAGTTGAACTTTGTCGTTTGGTGGGCTTTTGTCACCACAAGACCGTTTTAACAGACATCGAGTTACAGCGTAGTATTGCACCGCTGTAATATATTCTTCTATCGTTCGGAGTGATTGATTAGGCAAAATTACAAATTTGAGTTTGAGATGGTTAGGTAGGATGCTTTGCAAAGGTATTATACAATGGATACATATAATAATATTAATTAATGCCAGATAAAAATTACATGCATGCGTGCATGCATTAACGCAAACTAGTCCAATACGACAAGACGTCATAGGTAAAGATGCACGATCGCATCCACACAGGCAATCTGACTCCTTTGGTGCATTAATAACTTTTTCTTGGGCATATAGTCTTGGACCCTACCGTTTGCTATCATGTATACTATCAATTGCAGCAACAATAACAACAACAACAATAGCAAGACCAACAGCTAACATCGTTTATGTAATATACATACATATAGAAAGTGACAGTTTTGCCCACTGCAATGACGCGTAGTTATCAATGTTGCCCCTATATAATCCCTTGGTCGGGAATCTGACAGTTTATATCCACCTATCTTACGTTCTCAAGATTAGGTAGGATATAGGATAATCATGATGTAAGCTAGATGTGATAAGTCAGCGCTGACAGTGATGGCAGGTAATCGCACATTGCACACAACAGGGCTATATCGAGTCATAGTAAAAGCACCACTGCTTTGCAGTTCTTGTGCCGTCGTCAACATCGCCAGTACTGTCACAGCTCGTAGCTTCGCGCATTGTATACAATTAACCTCATACGTCACACTATATGATCTATAACCTGGTTTTCAGGGCGCCATGTGATGGCAGATAGTCCCAATGGATCCTTCCTGCGTTGGTTACCACTCCGGATGACGTTCGCCGTCCAGTAGCGCCAGTAGTAATAAGATGGTAGGTATGACCACTGGCAGCACCACGCTATATGCTAGATGGTTGGAGAAATTTTCTATTCAAAACAGTGAGCAGAACATTTTTCCGACACGCCAGTGCAGGGCTGTCTCGGATAGGCTTACGTCCGTGTCATTCCAGTTTTTTTGGCTGCTTGTACGCCAAAAGCAACATCTCAGCATATTCTATACACAATATCTTCGCACTTGGTTATATTTTCTTGCGGTGTCGATTTCGAGTGACGGACTTCTATCTGTGTATAAGTTAAGTACCACATTTTTTTTTTACTAAATATGCAAGTAGATGCGTAAACGTGTCTTTCCTGGATGCATAGTTATGTGTAGTTTGAGGTAATTCAAATTGTTTATAAACATAAAAATTTACGGTATTACAACCTTTTTATGTGCACAAACCAGCCAGTTGGAATAGGGATGGTAAACGTTGAAGAAGCGAGCTCACGTTCATCCCTTATTACAGATGGATATTAGGTTGGAACGCTATCATCGTTTACGTAGTACCATGCACATACGTCGCCCCCGGTGCCGCAACGCCAGGCCGCACCAGCAGCCTGGCAAAATAAGGCAATCTCTAGAAATATTTTGGTTCGTCGGATAAACGTCTTTGCTATCTGTTAGCGACCAGGAAAGCCAGGGCCTAGAATCGCAAATGTCATGCATTTAAGCATGCGTTTCGGCAGGAATGATAAAACGTGAGGGTTATTATTATTTAATGCCGTAAAGGCTGCCGTGTAGAATTGCAGGAAAATTGTAGAAGAGGGTAAATCTGCAATATGAGGGGATGTAGAGACATTTACAAATTAAAGCTAATATTCAATACAACTAAAACTATTATTATTAACTTTGTAAATGTTGTAGATATGATGTAGGGTATTCTGTATTCACGCTTTTGACACATTCACGGTTAAGACGTCGGATGACCTTAACAAAAACCTAATGAGAACATGCTAAGCTGAATCCTTTTATGCTACAATCAGGCGGTCGTTTCATATAAACGTACCACATTCTGCATAGCCTGCTTGGATGCTTCTCTGACATAGTCTAATATATGAAGAAAACGGTGACGCAGAACAAAGAATTGACGTACAAGAATTTACGCTTAAAATGAGTTGGTCAATAGAAAGTAGGTTTATTATAGTTATAGGTATTTTTTGTTGAGACGGGAAATCTATAGTTTATAGGTGTAAATGTTTTATATAATGTAAACCAAATTTCGTCGCGCGTGTAGCGCTACTCAACTGGTTGAATATGCAGAAATCATTCTGCCATATAATCGTGACGAAATTTTCAAATTCTTACGTAGTACACTAATTGCATTTTTATTACATTTATTCCAACATTTATTTAGGTTCAAGCGGGTACATATTATTATTATTATTATATATTATATAGGTATTATATG